ATGATTTTTACAATTTACCATAAAATGAATAAGAGAAAATAAATTTTTACTTTACTCATTCTTCGCCAAGCTGGCGGCACTGAAACTAAATTCTTATTAATACAAGAATACGAAGTTATTTTTATCTTCGGCCAAATTTTGGCTTTAACATAACAGAATTAGTCTTTCGACCAACAGAAAATGCTTGTTCTTAGATTTTATACTTAAAGAAAATAATACTTTTGCCTTAGCTAAATAAAGTAAAACAAAACTAAGTCTCAACCGAGACATATTGACTTTCGTCAAAACATAGAACTTCGTACTTACGCATAACATTTCGGAACAAAAGAAAAATTTTATAGAAGATTTTAACTTATCTTTGAGTTTTCGATGATTGGAAACTCCGTCATTCTTTTCTGGCAGAACTGTTCCCACGTTATAGGTTTCATGGACGTCAATCTTCTCCTTACTGACCTCCGAGTGTCGTCCACATTAGTTTTTCTTTTGCGTCCTCTGCATGCTGGCCTCTTGGCGTAGTAATCGTCGGGTTGTTGTCTTTTTCGTTTTTTCCTTGGACGGCTGGTCTTGACGTCCTCCGGTCTGGAGTCCTTCTTGAATTTCTTCTGTTTGTTCCTGGTATTTTCGTTCCTCCTGCTGTCTTTTCAGTTTCCGGAACGGCGGCCTTGTTTGCACCTGACTCTCTGGCCCTGGGAGCGTTCTCCTTGATGTATAATTTCTACTGCGATACGTTGTAGGTGGTGTTTTCCTCTTTACCAAGGTTTCTTTACGCGGCGGTGGCTTTGCATTCTTGTTTTTCTTAAATGCTGGAGTCTGAAAGTTTTCATTTTTTCTTTTTCGGTACCGTCGTCCTGGGTTGTAGAAGGGCTAGGTCTCTCTTCAGTTCTCTGCTTCTTGGGTGGTGGAACGGGTTGACGTTATTTCTGGACCTTCTACTTCTTTTACGCTTGAGTCCTGCAAGAAACTTTTAAGGATTTCAAAATCATTTTGGATTATAGTATTTTTTCACCTGGTCGGGACTTGCTTTACAGATTTCCCCTCTCTCGTTCTTAAGGTACAATACGACTCCTTTGATTTCCTGAATTACATAGGGGCCTTCAAATTTTGGAGCTAACTTTGCAGTAAAATTGTCTGGGGCACTTGATAAAGAAAATTTCCGCTTCAATACTTTATCCCCAACTTTAAAATCTGCTTCACGGCGTTTTCTATCGTAATATATTTTTTGCCTATTTCTTGCCGTATCCGAGCTTTTAAGCGCCTGGTCAATAAGTTTTTGCACATCTTTCTGTTTAAATTCTTGCTCTCTTTGTTGCACAAAGAATAATTTATCTAAAGGCGTAATTAACTTTCGGCCTAAAAATAATTCTGCTGGGGTTTTTCCCGTAGTATCGTGATTTGCCGTTCTTAAAGCATAAGCTAATTCATTTATGTAGCCATCCCAGCGCTTGTGATGTGTGCTAACGTAACTGCGAATTATTTTTACAATGTTTTTATTCACTCTTTCTGCTATGTTTGCCTGTGGTCTATACGGAACCATTTTGATATGGCGTATGCCAAGTCCAGTGCATATGTTTTCAAATATTTGACTAATGAATTGTTTTTCGTTATCGCTAATGACTTTTATCGGTGCACCGTATTTTAAAATGTATCTGTGTAAGAATGCATCTGCGACTGTTTTGGCTGACGCGCGTTTAAGTGGAACAATTTCTGTCCATTTTGAAAAGTGATCTACAATTACTAAAAGAAAACGATTTTTATTTAACTCGCTCTGGGGGAAGGGACCAAGAAGATCTATGCCTAAAATTTCATTCGGAAATGTAGCGCGAATGCTATTTAAGTACCCGGCCGGGCTGTAATTAATATCATTTATTAACTGACATTGATTGCAGGACCTGACATACGCAGTTACTATTTTGTATAATTGCGGGAAATATACCGCCTCGCGTACCCTTTTTAAAGTCTTTCTGACCCCTAAATGACCCGCTGTTTTCGCGTCGTGTAATTCCTTCAAAATGCTTAATCGAAGCGAGGCTGGGATGACTGGTTTGTACTCGAGATTTTCGTTTGTTGTTTTCGTATAAAATAATAAATTATCTATTATTTCATAGTTTTTCTGCTCTATTTCTTATCGCATCGATATCTGTGTGCTCAAAGCTTTCGGGGTCTTTCAAATATGCATAGATATTTCCAAATTAAGGATCAGCTTTCAGTTCAGTGATAATCGTATCTCTAGAATCTAAAATTTTTGAAGTCAACACAGCGCATTTAAGTTCATTTCCTTCATCGTCCAGTTTTATACCCTTACCCGGTTTATATTTTATTATTAGATTATATTCTTGGAGTTTTAAAGCCCATCTTATTAACCTGGCCGTTAGGGTTTTCCCCGAGTAAAGTCTACCAACAGCCGCATGATCCGAAAAGACTGTTACTGGCGCTTTGCCGAAATAAACTCGAAATTTGTGTACAGCCATTAATACGGCTAATGTTTCTCTCTCTGTAGCTGTATAATTCCTTTGTGTCTGATTCAACGTTTTACTAAAAAATGCCAGAGGATGGCTATTTTGCATAAGAACCGCACCCACCGCATAGTCCGACGCATCTGCTGCAATTTCCAGGTTTTCGTCCCCCTCCGGGAATTTCAAAACAGGGGCATTGATGAGCGCTTCTTTTAATCTTTCAAATGCTGTATTTGCTTCCGCTGTCCACGTAAATTTACTTTTCTTTCTTTTAATTACTAAGAGTGGTTCAACAATATTAGCGAAATCTTTTATGAAAAGACCGATAGTAAGAACATAACACAAGGAAAGAAGAAGGTTTCTTGGTGGTGTTGGGCGGTGGAAAATTCTTGATTGCTTTTATTTTTGAATCTTGAGTTTCTATACCCTTTTGCGAAATTTTATAACCCAGATATTTAAGTTCTTTAGTTGCGAACTTGCATTTTGAGGCGTTAATTGTAAGACCGGCCTCTTTTAATAATTTAAAAACTTCTTCTAGATCTTTAATGTGTTGTTCCAACGTACTACTCGTTATAATTATATCATCTAGATAGATTAAAGTTGATTTTCCTAGGACAGGCTTTAGAACAATGTCCATAGCTCTCTGGAATGTTGATGGGGCCCCACACAACCCAAAGGGCATGCGTAAAAATGCATAAGTGCCCGATTTTGTTATAAACGCGGTTTTATGTATGTCTTCGGGTCTCATAGCTATTTGATAGTAGCCAGACGTTAAGTCCAAAGTAGTCATGTATCTTGTAGATTTGATCTTTCTAATAATTTCCTCTATAACCGGCAAAGGGTAAACTGGGAATTTAGTAATACTATTTAGTTTTCTGTAATCGATAGCAAACCTCCAAGCCCTTTTATCCGAAGGAGGAAACTCGTTCTGTTTCCTACATAGTACGACTGGACTCGCGTACTCACTATTTATGGGCGTTATTATTTTGTTCTTTAACATTTCCTGAATATGTTCTTCGATGATTACGTCTTTTTGTTTATCATAGCGATACGGTTTAGTCCTACAAGGTTTGTCGGCAGTTAACTGTATCTGATGCGTCACTATTTGACAGCTACCAGGCCTTTATGAAAATTTGAAAATTACTCACCACTTGCTGGATTGCTTGACTTTCATGGTCATTCAAATGGCTAAGGTCAACTTGCGGTTGTTCCACAGGTTCCACCACCCTCTGGTCCATCTCCAGCACAACAGAACTGTCTTGAAAATTCAATTTGGCCCTCGCGGCCCTTAAAAACTCCATACCTAAAATAAGAGGATTTTGCAGATTCTTCACTACAAAAATTAATACTTTGAGGCTTTCCTCTTTTACCTGTATGTTTAATGATAATTTCCCGATGCAGTGACAGGTTTTTCCTTGCGCCGCTATAATTTCGGTATTTTTGGTTTTAAATAATCGTAACCTATAAAAATTCTTTTTGAAGAATGTTTCGCTCATAAAATTACTTCTGCTCCTGTATCGATGAGGGCTTCTACTGGTACATCGCCAACCAGGACTTGTATAATTGGTAGATGTGAGTTTTTTACGATGACCGTATTTAAATGTCTTTTTGAGGGTTTTTTTAAAACTTCGGGGGTCTGGACCCTCGCTTTCACAGGCCCCTCTACCAGTGCCTCCTAGATTATAAAGCCAATGGACAGGTTGTAGAAACAAGTGTGACGTCAAAGTTATTAGGCCCACGTGATGTTCTCGAGGTTTGGATTCTCAATTGGGAAGCCATTGCTTTGCGGTGTACATAGACTGGAATGTTAGCACGTGCTGTCGGAGAGATGAAATACTTGGTAAGTTCGTATTTATTGAAATGTAACTTTATATTTTGTTCATTGAAATAAACGCTTGCTATTACTAATGTTGAATTAAATTAAGTATTAATTGCTTAATTATTAGTAACACACGTATACTTATTATGTTTATCTTCGTATTGATTAGCCATTATTATTATTATTAATCTTATTTCTGAATTTACTTAATATATTTTGTTTAAGTGCATCACCGAAGTTTTAATTTTATGTGTGCAGTATCTAATGTTACGTATTTTCTTTTATAAAAGTTTTTTATTATTTCATTACTGTTTTACGAATTTTTAACCTAATCATTTATATAAAGCTTAACAGTTTTTAAAAATGTAATTGAAAGTAAACCTATACAATAAATCTAGTTAAATTAATAATTACGTATATCAGTTAACAAACGTATGTACGCTAATATGTGAGTGTGTAGAATAAATGCGAGTGCATTGTATAATGAGTGTAAGTATAAGTGAGAATGGCAAACTTTTAAAATTATGTGATCAAAGCGTTCAGTATTTGAAGAACAGTCTAGTAAAAACGTTTGTTTTTTATTGTGAGTTTAATTATATATTAACTTATCACTATTGAAAGATATATTTTATGTGGTTTCTAAATTTATACTGTGTATTTGCATACAATGTATTTAAATATTAAAGCAGTAAATTCATCTTAACATTCCATAAATAGTGTTTAGTTTACCAAACAAAGTCTTTCTTCAGATTTCAGGTATATATTTTACTGTTCAATATTCTAAATATTCTAAACATGATTCACCTGAAGTTTGATATTATTTTCATTTGACTGTTTCAGCATGTTTTAAATATCAAAATTATCATCATTGATGCGAGTAATAATTTCAGTATAATAATAGATATCTTAATAGAAGCTTAGGTGTTCTTCAGATACGAATTTCTTGAAGTCTCATTCATTCAAATGTTTGAATGACATTTGAAATTCTCCACCGTTGGTTTATGGTGTATCGAATTTCAATGTATAATTATGCAAATTTAAATTGTTATAACATTTAGTATTTATATAACTGATTTTTGTACTGTTTTTACAGAAAATATGCCATTTAAATGCTGTGTAACTGGTTGTCGGGGAAATTATAAAGGTACTGAAAAGGTGCATACATTTTCCTTTCCCAAAAATGATGCTCTTAGAGAGAGGTGGCTAAGAAATATACCTAGGAAGGACTTCTCAGCAACTCCATATTCTCGGGTAGGTGTAATCCTAATTAATTTATTAAGATTCAATAAATTGTTGGTAGAATATTCTTAGTCTGCTATGGAAACTTTCTGCAAGCTATAATTTTTACCTCCCGCCAACATGTATAAATAGGTTTCAGTGTATAGTTTTCTATTTGATGAATCAACAAATTACATTTAATTTACAAACAATCAAGGGCAAATGATACTTCGAAGCTCGTTGCTGTATAAGCCATAGAATAGGCGGGAGGTCGTATGCTGTCATGATCAGATTTTTTATATGTAGTGTTAACTGATCCTTAAATATTTGAAAGAAAATTTTAATTTGCATATATGCATTTAAAATTTAACCTGCCCAAAGCATTGCCAAAGCTTGAATGTTTTTATTTATAAGGAAAGTGATCCAATCTTGCTTTACAGTTGGTTGTTTTAAGAAGTTAGTTACATGATGTCTTCCTTTTACTTAATAGGTGTGCCATAAACATTTTCAACCTGATGACCTCATCTGGGAAACATCAGCTTTCGATGAAAAAAATGGGAAAATCATTAAAGCTTCACTGCAGAGACCAAAACTAAAAGAAGGCGCTTTTCCTAGCATATTTGATGGCTGTCCATCGTATTTATCTTCACAAGCTGGTAGTTCGAGAAAAAGTCCGAATGAGAAAAAAATGGAACGAGAAGCAAACCTCATGATGAAAGCTATTGCTCATAGTAAATTATCAGCTGCTGAGTATTATAAATCGAGGACATTTTCAGACTTTAATGAACTTTTAACCTGTTGTACGCAATATAAATTTTCTACATTTTGGAACGTTGTGCACAAAGACAATATCTTGATGTTTTTGAATTTAAAATGCACTGATGGATGTGTAAAATTGCTTTATGCAGTCCACATTACTGCAGATCTTTTATTATCTGTATCGTTTCAAAATAAGTTATTGACTCATATCAGTAGTAAGTATAATGAGTTACCTATAAAAGTAAGTAATATTAATGAAATTCATGAAATACTTGATCATATTGAAATGTTAGAAACTAAAGACTTAATGAATTCGATTGAAATTATAATCAACCTGATGAAATCTTTAAGTTTCACAAATGAAGGTGATAAAATTTTATTTGAGTTCATGATTGAACAACTTTCTCTTGTAAAATGTAAGCCCCAAAATCGTCAATATTCATCCAATACCTTAATTTTAGCTTCTATGTTTTATTTGTTATCGCCCCAAGCATATAAATTTGTCCGACAATCTGGTAATTTAATTTTGCCTCATCCAAGTACTATACATAAAATAAGTTCTAAATTAAATGTAAATCCCCAAAAGGAAACAGATGATATGTTGTTTTTGGCATATGCTAAGCAAAAAGCTTGCTATCTGAAAGAGCATGAATTATATGTTTCATTAATGATGGATGAAATTCACATCAGACCTTTTCTTGACTACAAAAGTGGAGATATTGTTGGAATTGGCCAGGAAGTTGATAACTTAGCTTCTAGTGCACATGTATTTATGATACAGAGTATTTTGTGCTGCTTTAAAGATGTTGTCCATATATTACCATCGAAGAAAATGACAGCTGAAGTTTTGTTCACTGTTTTGAAAAAAAATAATTGTTGGTCTTGAAGCAATAGGTTTCAAAGTAATTGTTGTTGTTAGTGACAATAATTCCCTTAATAATCCATAAGCCCTGAATATGAAAATAGTTTCCTCCAAGTATGTAACCAACGTAATTTAATATCCAATATGACATTAGAAATTCTTATGTGTAAGGAAATTAAAATTATTTCCTGTAAAAACCCTTTGTCACGTAAAATTATGCAACTGCTTATATATTCATGCACAAATACTCTTTTAAACAATTATTGTAAATTCAAAAATGACAGCTTTTCTAAATATTCAGATAAAAGAAAACTAAAAACACTTGCTATGTAAGCATAACTAAACAAAGAATATATTAGAAATGTACCAATATAATTTTTTGGCCTTGAAAATGAAAATAATTTAGTTCATTTCACTTTTTTAATTTTAATTGCTCTCTAAACATGCATTAGTAAATATATGTGTAATTTTATTATTTTTGTAAATTAATTTCTTGTTTCTGTATTAAAATATTAAAAAATTATGGAATTGTATTTAAATATGTTATATAAATCAATAATTTTAAAGACTTCATTTGTTGTACTGTATTATTTTATATAGGTAACAGCAATAGTTGTCCATTACATACCAGCAATTAATTTTATTTATATTAATGTTTTTCACATCAAAATATTTTTCATTTAAAAATATAAACTGTATGCTTGGATGTTACTTTTAAGTAATCTTTGTATATTATTATACATATGTGATATATTAGAAGTTTGTACGATGAGAAAACTTAGTAGGTACTATGTGTATATATTTACATGCATAATATTTTAATCACAGAGTTAGAAATATGGATGCGTAAACCCAGAAATTCGGAAATATAATTGAATAATTTGGAAAGATCTTGAATTTGGGAGAACAGATGAACTTGGGGAGGGGGGAGAAAATAAAATTTAGGATAGTCAATTTTAAGGTTGCCAATTATTTCTTAACATAGCCATCATATTTTATTATATCTTACATATGTAATTATGTGTTTGTAGATGCATCTGAAGAAGCTGTTAGAAGCACCAGGATGGGAACCTACATCCAAATTGGTTTTCATTCTAGAAAATTAAGGTCTTATGAGCAAAATTATGCAATTACTGAATTAGAATGTTTTTTATTGGTGATGCAGATAAATTTCATTAATACTTATTCAGTAATTATTTTACTGTACACACTGATCAAGCTGCTTTAGTTTGGCTTAAGAACATTAAAGATCTTACAGGTAGGTTATTTAGATGGTATTTAAAATTATCTATGCATGATTTTGATATAAAATATGAAAATAGTTCTACTAATATTGAAGCTGATATGTTAACTAAAAATCCTATTTGTCAACATTTAAGTTTGGAAGTTAATTTATTCTCATTAGAGAAATTAAAGAGCATCAAAATTTAGATAATGTATATAATCCTAAGTATAAAGAAATTAATGATGTGTTAACTATTAAAAAGCAAGGATTATACAAAATCATAATAGCAATCTCTCTTTGTACTAAATTACTTTTAAAATGGCTCATATTAATCTTGTCAATATTATTGGTCAGGAATTGTCTGTCCAAGATGCTAAAATTTTTTGTAAACATTGCGAAGTGTGTCAGTTTAATAAGAAAAGTAAACAAAAGAGATTTGGTTTAATGTGAACCTTTTGAATTATTATCTATTGATACTGTTGGTGGTTTTAAACTATTATAATTATATTAAAATGTATCACTGAATTATTGATCATGCTACTTATTAAATATGGATTTTTTGCTTCTAAAAGTGTAACTACAGATAGTTACATAAATAGTTTAAGACAAATTTTTCAAATTCAAGTACCAAAGAAAATTTTAAGTGATAGAAATGCTGCTTCTTCCAAATTTAAGCACTTTTTAAGAAATCATAATGTAAAACAATTATTAACTACTAACGGGCCTCAAACTAATGGTAAAGTTGAACGAGTTATTCAAACAAATATAATAAAACTGTAAATTAAATTCTTATCAGGCTAATATTGCATGGACAAAATTGTTACCTCAAGTTACTGAATAATATAATAATACACCTCATTGTGTTGCAAAATTCCCGCAATCTTATTTAATGTATGGAAAATTGCCTTATGATCCTCTACTTGAAAATCAAGAAGTCTGTCCACCAATCCTTTCTTAACATAGCCAGAGTATTTTATTATATCATATATTATATATGTTATAATTTCCACACATTTGAGAGTATATTTAAGACTAACTAAATGTAAATTTTCCTTGCTGAAATTTAAATTCTGATTTTCAAGGAATATGATTTTATGAAAACATGATATTATGTCTTTAAATGAGATAAAAACAACATATCAGAAATTTTTAAGATATTGAGGAGTTTTGGTTTTCAGAACTAATTTTTAATTGAATGATTTGAAAATTCAGCTTCTACTAATCATTTTATAAAGCCAAATTCGATATTCAAGATCAAGTTTTGCTGGACTAAGTATCAAATCTTATTACATTACATATGAAATTTTAATGCATCTTTAATGAGTTTTATTGCTCTTGCATTGTAATGTTCAAAGATATTCCGATAGTAAAATAAATTTTTTATTGTCGGAAATATAGTTTTTCTGGATTATTTTGAGATTCATTATTTAAAGCAAATTGATACTGATAATTCTTTTTAGTTTTACTCTTTAATTTTTCTTTTCGCTTAGAATTATTGGGGACACATGCCTAGGTCATCAGCATGGTATGCACGGAGGTATGCACGGAGAAATCATCGCTATCGGAAGTTCCGCCGTTTCATATTCTACGGCCTAGTGCTAGTGACGTCACAGACCAGTCCGATGGCTTTATATCTAGGAGGCACTGCCTCTACTCGTTTAAAGCTTTCCTTTCAACTTCTGCCTTCTGGGTACGCGTATGTTTGTTTTCGAATTTCCTTTTTGGGCCTTGACCTTCGAGGTTCGATGAGTTAGCTTGATAGCTCTTTCCCCCATAAGAGTGGTTTGAAGATTGCCTTCGGGTACTTTGAGAATACGATGCCCCTCTAGCTTTTTCCGCTATTCTGCGATTTTGAAACTTCACCGCTAATTCGAAGAGCTCCTGCAATGTGCTTGGGTTTCTAATTTCGAAGTAGTCTTGAACAGCAGGTAACAATCTTGGTAAGATTATTTCAATAATCTCCGCGTCGGGTTTCTTCCCATGCAGCATATCCGTCAGCTTAATTTTTCGCAGAATAAAGTCCGTCAATTCTTTTATATCCCGTTGATAGAAACTATAAAGTTCTGCTTCCAGCCTTGCTCGATCTTTGACTATGGGGAAGGCCTTTACTAACGATTTTTTGAAATTTTCAAATGTATATGTCTGGCTTCCAAATTCCCCTAATAAAAATTTGCCTATATTCTTCCACCATAGCGCGGCATGTCCTCTTAGTGCAGATGTGGCGATGTCAACTTTTTGTCTTTCAGGGACAGGGTAGAGCTGAAAGTGATTTTCTAGGCCTTCTAGAAATATCGCCACCGAATGTTTTCCGTCGAAATTGACGTTTGGCTTGATTGACGCTCTCAAAGTCTGGACCAGGTATCCAAATCCTTCCAATTGGCTTGCCATTTCTTGGTGTTGTCCCGCGGCTTCCATCCGATTTTCGGCCATTTCAGTTCAACAAGCGTTCGGGCGTCAATGTAGAGTTGCGCGCCTCCAACCTGCACGCAACAAAGGGGTGACTGTTGAAACTAGAAAATAGACAGAGTCTTGCTAAGGGTTTAAGTCCCTTTTTATTCAACTTAAGAAATTACAATTGCGTGCTCTTGACGCTCACAAACTACCCCGACCCGGCGGTAAAATAAAAATAAGAACCTGAAAAGAAATAATAACAAGACTCTAACTACGAGGCTCTCTAAACGTAACTAACCTCACCGCGTTTTTACAATACCGCTGCTAATTCAGCAAACTTTGAATATCACGTTGAACGATTAACAATTCTCCGAGGCAAGCACACAGGCCGAAACACGGGGTTCTTCAATTTCTGGCTAACTACCTCCGCGCTCGTGAAGTAAGAAAGCACACCTCGAACTCGTTTCCATTCTATTTACCTCAGAATACTTCCGCTGATAATTTGAATCCTTGCGCGTTCTACTAAAAATTACATACTTTGGCATTGGCAGTTCCAGGGGAAAGTAAGGCTTGACAGGAAAGATAGTTTAAACTTAAAATAAATGTTAGTTAAAATAAATATAAAGCCTACACACCAGAGTAAATATATCCATCATATACAATTCATTTGGAGCTTCAAAGCTGGAATTTAGGTATCTTACAAGCCTGAGGGTTTTGTATCACTGAAAATTAGAGTATAAAATGATATTTTAATAATGTATTTTATTTTTGACTAGTATTCTCACATTTTTAAATATATGTAATCAAACAATTAATCATTTGCCTTTAAGTTCTTATTGTTTTTCAAGTAATTAATGTAAATTACTGACATTAACCTAACAACCGGTTTTGAGTTGTAACTATTAGAATAAAAAAATGTAAGTGTAAACTTTTCAATTTGTACGGTTTTAATAAAAATCATTAAGAAACCCCATTTTTTTCTGTACTGTATTTCTTCGCATATTACTCCCCATTTTTACTAATTTTATTGTCCGAAAATTGAGATGTGAAAATTATATGAGCAATTTAATTCCGAAGAGTGCACTTACAGTAAGAACATAACAAATGAAAAGCAGTAACAGAAAAATTACTGGTAATCAGAAGGAAATTGAAACCCTCTAGGGGCACCTTACATGAATGAGTCTTGACCGCAGTTCCCAACAAAGACATTAGAGGAACGAAAGAGAAGGGGCGAACAAAAGACGGGGATTTTGGAAGATCGAACAAATCAGCAGTAGACAAGGCTAGAATTAGCTAGAATATAAATAATGGAAGTAAGGGGAAAGCACATATTTGGAAAGAGTACCATTGGTAAAGTAATATTTACTGAAAATTAAATTAGTGCAATAGTATGGTCCTTCTAGAAATTTGGTTAATGCTGTGTTTTGATTGC